AGTACAGACTTTAAAATTGCTTGAAATTCAAATTGTGTCAAAAGAGCTATCAAAATTATGTCTTGGTAAATCTGCATGCAGGCTGCTGTAGCTTCCCTGTAAGGAGTAAAGCATGTCTCGGTGACCTTCTTAAAATTTAAGGTTTTTTTATACTATTTATATTTTAAAAGTTTAATTTTTTTTAAAAAAAATTTATATTTTTAATTTTTTTAATCTTAAAAAAATCATAAACAATAAAAATTTAAAAATTTTAAATTTTTACTTTTCATAAATTTTTTTACTCATTTTTAACTCTTTTTTTTTATTTTTAAAATTAATTTTTAAATTCTCTTTTTGATAAAAATTTAAATTTACCACTCATAACCAATATTAAAACAATAAAAACTCCAAAAGACTAACCCAAACAGCTAACCCAAACATACTCTTATAATACTTTACCGTCACAAGGATGCATTTGGGAGCACAATAATTAGAACCCTGATGTGATGAATTTGTTGTTACATTGTTTCTCCATTACATTTGGCAACCTGAAGGCGCCATTGTTTCCTCATCTGTCTTGTTAACTAAGAAAATTTCTTGAAGAAATGAGATAGTTATCTGAACATTGTTTCACATCAGTCTTAATGGCAATGCAAAAATCAGGACCTAACTTGGCTGGTCAGTAGTCACCGTATTGCATCTTCATGAGAAACTGCAATTGTAACGTAACCATCAAATGTTGTAGGCATAAGATGATCTTTTTTATAGTGATAGTCTCCATTCAATGCATGTTACAGGATCGTGCAGCTACGAGATGATCCAAGAAACTATCTGCTGCTCCACTTCATCCCAATTACAAACTTTAGTCACCAGGGGATGTTGATTGATTGACTCCATCTTGGACCATGGATACGAGTTCTCATAATCAAAAAGCAGAACCCTAACTCCAGCTTCAGCACACTCAATGGCATATCTTGGATTATCGTCGATCAAAATCTTAGCTCCTAATGATCTGCCAATAACAAGAAATAAAGAAAAACACATGAAGTGAGCTTCTATGAGTTGATTAGGCTCATTTTCAAGGTAATGCTCGCAACCTTAAAGAGCATACAAGAAAGAACACCTTCTACCAAAAAAAAAATACAAGAAAGAACACCCGAACCCAATTACCATCAAATTTTAAGTCGAAAAGCAACAAAGGTGACCTTTTCTTGCCATTAAACACATCCAGTGTCAAGGGGTTCATTGGCCTACCTGCATATTTCTGACTTTGGCCTAGACTGGCCATCTAGAGCAAAATGGTTCCCGAAGTGAATATCTTGGAACAGTCCTGGGTAATGCTTCTCTAGCCAATCAATTGTATGATCCTTGATTACATTCTGCCGAGAACTATACATACATACACAATTTGCTTAATGCTAAGGCCAAAATGCTAACATATCATGAACGAAGAAAATTAAGCATACGTACGTTACAACTGACAGGTTACAAAATCTCGACAAATTATGAAGCACCTCCCGAGCACCTGGGATGGGTTGGATGCCTTTCTTGAAATATGGTGTCTCAAAGAACTCATGGACACGGGAATTAGCTGTCATACCAAGAAAGCAGTGTATAAATTCAAGCAATGGATTGGTGAAAACAAACTCCAAGAAAGATTTTAAGGTGAAATTTTTATTGTAAGATAAATCATTTAGAAAATGGTTATATTTCAACTTTCAAGGGACATCAATGAGGTTATTTGCAATGTCAAACAATCACCATATCAAATACAAGATACATTAAACTTGAACATATTGAAACTGAAATCTACAAAAATATTAAAAAGTTCTAGCTATAAAAACACAGGGGAGTTACGAGCATCTATAAATTGGAAGGAAAGGATATTCTAGTTTCCTTGCATTCATTTGCCAATGTAAATCAATAAATAATTTTCCTAACAATACTTCTGGTAAATACCAATCTTAATCAATTTTTAATCTACTTATTTACAATGGGAATACAAAACTGTAAAGACTTCACTCCACATACACTTGAAAATTTTTATGTAGTCACAGAAACCAAAAGAAACCTTGTTATCATCAGAACACACGCACACACTTTATTCAATGGTTTTAATAATGAAAGCCTTTTTACACAAGACCTGACAAATTAACTCCAAAGGAATAAATAGATATGGCAATACCTTCACCACGAGAGCAGTTCCATATCTGTGACAGAAATAAAGATGCATCAGAATGCATATAAAAGGAAATTTACACCTTTTCTCCTACACTAATTGACCATATAAAGCCATAAAATACATAGGCAATGTCTGTGAAAGAACTACAGGTTCAGTACCACAAAAGAACATATGAAGTTTGTCCATACAGGAGTAATCCAAGATACAATATTATTTACAAAATTAGTTTTTTGCTTAACTTGTGAGGTCGGTGGCTTTGAGCGTTCTTGCAAAATGGTTATCAATAGAATGCTAATACCAAATTCTCAGGAAATGTGAATTGAATCATCTCAGACTCGGAGATATACGCAGCACAACCAAGTACCAGATCATCGAAGAGATAGATGAACCAGACATTTAAGAAAGAGTATACCCTTTCTTAATCAAACTGACAATTCAATTAACTAATTTAGCAATCAGCAATCAATCTGGAGATACAAAAAGTCAATGACCAATCTTCGACTGCAAACCCAAGCCAACGATCCTCTTTCTCAGTCTTATAGAAAAATATAATACCAAGTCTAATTGCATCCCACCACTCTTAAAACCAGAAAACCCATGAAAACCCGTGCAATCAAGCCATGGAACAATACCTTGAAGAACTCATAGACGTGGTACTCTGAGACTGAGTGGTTTAATGAATAACGATCTGCAATAAATCTGTTTAAGGCTGACACAAAGTTCCCCAGAACTGCATACAATCAAGCAGGGGAAAAACACATAAATGCATCAGACAAAAGAAGAACCTAACTAAAACTGATATGGAGGAATACCATTAATCAATTGCTTCCCACGTCAACATAAAAGTTAAGTACAATCCTCTAACCACTACATAATCATCAAGCAAACATATCACAAAGTAGATAACACCAGTTTGCAACTCGGTAGCAGACTTATACACTGAGTTGCTTACTTTGTCACCTGGTAACACAAACATTAACCAAGTAAAAACAAACTAAACCATCCCTCAGCACTTCTAGAAGACATTTCGAACAAACAATCAAGCAGACATCATTTTTGTTTTTTGCCATATCAAGCAGACATCTTTAACCCAAAATGGAGTGGAAGGGAGCAAACCTTCGTCGACATCAACAGCAACCACTATTTTGTCTGAACGGTCAAGGAACCCAGGAGGGCCTCCTCCTCCGCAGGTGTACCGAGTATTAGCCAACAATTTAGCATCCTTTACCGCTTCAGTAGGGCTAACAATCTCCAAGTTACCCTCCAATTGAGGAAGAAATGCGCGGGGTCTACGTTCGCAGGCCCTGCGGGAATCGTCGAAACAACCCTTCAAAGTCAACGTTAACCCAGCAACTCGGTTACCCTTAACGGCGCCATTGCGATTGTCGGCACAATTAATTACGCCGAGAACTTTGAAACATAGGTGGCAGCCGGCGGCGGACTGCGACTGCGGCAAAGCGTGGAATTGCTTGAGAAAGCGATGATCAGAACCGTTTAAGCAAGCCATGAAACCTCTGTTTAGCTCACAACAAATTTGACTACTCTGCCTGTTTAACATGACGAACCTTCATATTCCACCGGCGACGCAAACCTCCCATTGGCAATAATATGATCCTTCCCAAATCCCACCTACCAAAATTAGGAAAAAAGAAAACCCTAATCAAAAGAAACGATTTTCTCAACTGGGCAATGAAATTTACAGCGAAAAAAATCTGGGTATCAGAATTTGAAGAAAGAGAAGCGATTGGGAGGAACAGAGAACCGGAGGCGCGGCAAAAACAGACTTATAAAGGGTGGAAACAATGCAGAAAAACATAAGAAAAGAATTTATTTTTAGAAAAATGGGATTAAAAAATCTATGTTTTTGGGAAATCCAGAAATAAGAGAATCTGAGGGGAAAAGGTTAAGGAAGAACAGATGTTGGATTCGGACAAACTCTGAAAAAATTGCAGAAATCTCGTAGGGTATGGGCAGCAGTCGGCGGTAGGAGGGGAATTGAATTGAATTTAATTTCCTTGTTTGATGGCAAATGAGACTGGTGCTGGAGTTTTTAATTAGATCAGGATTCACTTACTTTAAGGCGAAGATTATGGCAACGAATTTCCAATTTTCTCAAAACTCGAAGTCCCAATTTGGATGGATGAAAATCTTTTGAGTTTAATTTTGCGTCTACTTTTTTTTTTTCTAGGCAAAAGATGCAGATTTTCTAAAATTTGTCAAAGTAAATTGCGACTTAAAAGAACATGGCCCTGTTGGCCACTGTTTCGAGCTGGGAGCTGCTCTTATGATAAAAATGTTTAAAAGAAAAAAAAAAGTGCGACTTAAAAACAATTGATTAATTGGTTATTATAAAATTTTACTTTTTAAAAAGTAACTTAAATTTAATAATAATTATTATTTTTATTAATATTTTAAAATAATAATTTAATAAAATGTGCACGTGAACCTCATTGTTGTCAGGTCACGCATAAATGTATTTCTCAGTTCAGGTAACGGTTTGAATTCTGATTCTTTACGAATTTATTAAAAAAATAATTTAATAAAATTTAATAAATAATTATTAAATTTAAATTAATTTCTTAAAATAAAAATTTAAAATAATAAATTACATTATTTTTTTTAAGTAATTTATTTCAACGCAAGAGATCATTTAATTGGTCTCTACTCTTTCGTTCATTTTTCACGTTCACTTTTGCTGCCTTTGTTTCTTTTCTTAATACTCCCTACCTCCCTTCCCATAATATAGGTAAAATGTCGCGTATTTAGAATGTATAATTAAATAAATATATATAATGCTATGAATAAATTATTAAATATAAAATGTCAATCATATATTAAATTAAAATTTTATTATATTATATAACATTATAACCATATTATTTTCAATACAAAAATGTTTCACATAGTTCAAACTTACATCAAATCACAAGAAAATAATCATCAATGACATGGTTCTCTAATTTTTTTTTTTTTTTTTTTCATCAATGACATGGTTCTCTAATTTTTTTTTTTTTATCATGAAGATATATCCAAATTAATTTTTGTGTATCTTGAAATTAATTTTTATTCACCAATCTTAAAGTTAATATCACATTGTCTATAGGTCTAATATATTTAAAGAAATTTTAAAAAATTAATTTATTTAAGTATTAATTTTATAACTTAAAATTTAATTTTTTGTTTTTACGTTAGTTACATAATGAGAAATAATTCTCTTTTATCATTTATCACATATCATCTGTATGTTATATGATTCAAACTCAAAATTTTTTAATTTCAACAAAAAGAGATTACCACTGAATTATTTAAGTCGTTGACAACTTAAATTTTTAATTTAATTTATAAAAATAACTATTACTTAACTGTAAATCCAACTATGGAACTAGATTGTTCCCTCGTATAAGATCAGACAGTCTGTGTCTGTTATGTGATGGTGCTGATTTTGCAGTTCAAGCCTAGAAACTGAAGCCCATAAGATAAAATGAAAAAACATTCATGGCGCTGAAAATAGAATAAATCCAATTGAAACTGTAACAAATAGGCCGACCCCAGGATGAGCCCAATTCTCCAGGATGGGTTGGGCCTTAGAACCAGGCCTACACAAATTGCAAAGGAAAAGAAATGAGCAGATTTACTAAAGGAGAAGAAAAATCTTCTCGCTGCTCAGAAAACCCAGCGGAGGAGCAGCAGCGCCGGGATTAAGGAGGAAGCCGCCGCAACTATGTTATTGATTCTGGTTGCCGCCGGCGAAGCGCTCACCGATGGAGAAGGAGGCAGCTCGTGTTTTCCCAAGTCTATCATGATCTCGAATCGGCAAGGTTCCTGAGACGGTTCTATGCTGGTAATCGCCGACAACCCGGCAAAGTTGCACGAATCTTTCCTCTGATTCATCGCCTGGTAATACACATTGAATGCATAAGAGGCATTTTTCCGAGGATCTAGATTGCCGCACGTCGACCCATTTCCGAGGCTGGTGCAATCGGCGTACTGGCAGGCGTAGCTGATGCTGGAGGCCAAATTGGGGGCTGATAAGCTCGCCTGAGGGGACATCACGCACCACTGCCTCGCCAGATAGTGGACGCCTTTGGCCGGAACAAGTGGTTTCCCGCCTCCCAAATCCAGATTGTATTTCATGGTGCCGTCGAAATGAAAGATTCCCCAATGTCTCTCGAAGTTCCCCGGGAGGATGCTCTTGATGTCCTCGTCGATTAGGGAGAATATGTAAATATCCGGAAGGGTGGGACGTTTGGGGGTGCCTTTGCCTTGGAGTATACGGCTGAGAAGGCCCTGATTAAATCTCTGGGCGTAATTAGCGTTCGCATTCGGATCACCGTCCGTTGGCCAGCCAACCTCGCCGATCAGGACGGGCATTGACCCGAATCCGTTTTTCTCAAGCGCTGAGAGGAGAGTATCAAAATTGGCGTCATAGACGTTGGTGTAAGTGATGGGGCCGTCCTGAAGGGGGCTCGCCGAATTGTTAAAAAATGCATACTCTTTGGGAAAATTGGGATCGGCGTAGAGGCTGAGGAATGGGTAGATGTTGATGGTGAGGACGCCATTGTTGTCACGAAGGAACTTGATGATGCTGATCATGAGGTCATGAATGTCCGGCCGGAAATTACCGCCGGAGGGCAGTCCACTGTCGCTCTTGTAGACGTCGGCATTCAACGGAACCGTTACCTTCACTTGTTTGGCTAAGCCGGCTTTGACAAGAGCTGCCTGAATGTTTTGGAGTGCTGGAAATGTTGTTTTTATGAACTTGTCTTTGTAGGCACCCAAGAATGGTTCATTTGCCACAGCTACATATCTGAAAATAACATACCAAATAAATGTCACCTTATATTACAAAAGTTTTGTTAATATATCTTAAGGAATTCACGAGAAATTACCCGTATTTAGTCGATATATCATAGGAGATTCACGAGGAATTACTACCTACCTCGTGATATCAGGAAATACCTTACGTCTGTTCCGTATTTTGATACATAGTTGGAGACATTTTGTTGCACCCACGCATCAGCGTTACTGGGACTGCTTGCAAGTGGCAGGAGGAGTTCATTTGGTATTCCCACCATAACCTGAATTCCTGATTTTCCTAGAGCCTTCATGGCTCCAGGATCAGCTTCAAAGAGCTTCACTTTGTTGAATCCGTTGTCCTTCAAGAGCCTCACGACGATGTTTGGCGGCAGTGGGTGCGATGATTGGGTGCCCCAGTTGATTGCCAGCCCCTGAACTTCCTTCCCTGGATGAAAAAACAGGACAACCATGAAGAACCACAACAAGTAGTTTCTGTTTTCCTCCATCTTTTGCTGGGTTTTTCTGCAATTTTAATCTTGATTAATGGAGGACTCTGAATATTTGAAATCATTTTATGGGGACTGGAGGGAAGAAATGTGCTTTTATGAGAAAGAAAAGAAAGGGAAGGAATTGCATGAAGATTCAACAAGGAACTTGATTCTAAGGAAAAACCCAACTTGAATCATCAATGAGAAAACTTAATTTGATGGGTAAACAGAAACAAAAAGAAAAAATGCAATGGAAGAAAGGAATGGAGTGGAAATCCTGAACACAGTAAAACCCTATAAAGAAAGTATTATGATCATGGACACTCGTTAATTTGTTAGGGCAAATAAATTGTTAGATTT